GCTAGGATTACAGGCGTGAGCCACGGCGCCCGGCCTCAGTGGAGGCTTTTATTTTCTATCTGTTGCCTGGCCAAAACATATTGTGGTTTTATTAATATTCACAGCTATTTGAGTGGGAAAAGAAGAGAAAAATGTCCTTAATCCTAGTGTTTACTTAGGAAATGTAGTCTATAAATTATGTCTTGAAAATTTTGAGAAAGAAAGATTTCTTGGTCAGGCGCAGTGGCTCATACCTGTAACCCCAGCACTCTGAGGCTGAGGTGGGAGGATCGCTTGAGCCTTGGAGTTTGAGACCAGCCTGGGCAACATAGTGAGACCCCATCTCTAAAAAAAATTAAAAAATTAACCAGGCATGGTGGTACATGCTTGTAGTCCTAGCCACTTGGGAGGCCAAGGCAGGAGGATTGCTTGAGCCTAGGAGTTGGAGGCTGCAGTGAGCTGTGATCAGGCCACCACGTTCCAGCCTGGGCGACAGAGCAAGACCCCATCTCAAAAGTGAAAAAAAAAGAAAGAAATATTTCTTGATTTTTGCTTTGTCTAAGTCTACTTTATCAGACCATATGGTGAGCTTAATGGGAGAATTGAGCCCCTTTCTTTTTATAGGAAATCAATTTTGGTATTCAAATTTAGTTTTCCTTATATTTTAGAATACAGTAAAGAAGTTTATAAATTATTTTTCAGGGAATTAATTTATCATAATCTTTTTAATTACTGAGAAGGCAATTTAAACTGTTTGAAGTTTGAACATGCCTTATTACATGTGCAAATTTGAATTTTTTTAAACAAAGCAAAAAGATTAAACCATGTTATTTATTTCCAAGAATGCAGATTTACTTAAATCCAATTAAAAAATGAATTTTCCTACCTAAGGAGAAAAAAAAGAACTTTCTTGAATTTAAATCTAAGTTTTAAATCTAAGTGGTCCAAATGAAGTCTTTTTAATTATTCATGATCACTAATTCTAAACTTCCAGAATCATTCTGTTTCAAGTAAACTGCATTATACAGGATTCCATCCTTCTTTCTTGTTACATGGTTCAGGGTTACTACTGCCAAAGCATTGGTTCATGTCATGCTTCATGTTAACTTTGTCTTGTTAATACTGTATCACTCTATATTGGCATAAGCCCATCTTTACTGTAGTATTCAACTGCTGGAAATAATGTATGCTATCCACATTGTAGTTTCTCATATAAAGATATGTTTTCTTTAGTCTCTGTGATACAAATAAAACAATCATTTTACCATCAACCTATTTTTTAGTGAATATATTTATTTCATAAGGTAGCCATTAAGACATGTTAAGTGGTAGTGTATTTTAAAATAGTGCAAATCAAACCACATACACACAAAGAAAATTTGGTTCTGGATATGGATAGTTGCATGCTGATGCAAGAAGGTATATGTCTGATAAAGGAAGTGGGTTTAGACAAAGCAAAAATCAAGAAGTATTTCTTTCTCAAAGCAAATGTGCATAAAGACTCAAAGGGCAGGTCAGCACAGAAAAGCAGCCTTGAATGGCTGCCGAATCAGCAGGAACATCGCTGTCCATGGTCACCATCTGTAATCGCTGTGCCCAAATGTCAGCCTCTTGGCTGGCTGGTGTAGCCTTCTTTTTTAAAATTTTTTTTGTAACAGTATACTTGTGTTTAACACAGAATGTTGATTTAAATAAATGATGAAATTTTAAGTTATAACTTCTAAGTAATTGGAATAGAGAAACTATTATTTAAAAGTTTTATATAAACAGTAAAATATAATGCACCTGTATTCAAGGTATCCTATAGGTAAATTCTGTAACTATATGCACATTTTTCAGATTTAATTATATTGAGCTACATTGTAGCTTTTATAGAGACTTGTAGCAATTGTCTTACAAGTCAAGTGTCTCTCATATCTATTAAAAACCAGTTTAAGAGTGTACTTTGAACTTAGAGGGATTAGGTTCCAAAATACCAAAAATATCCAGTAATGAATAAAGATCACAGAAGTAGCCAATTCCAAAACATTTCTCTTAGCTAAACTCAGGATTAGAGGGATGCTTTAATATATTCAGGTTATGCAAAAATATTAAAGATAGATTTTTTACTTTCTTCACTAATATACCTATCAAAAAATGAACCCTTCTAAGTTATTTTCAAGTACATTTTAGATGGAAGAGGCATTTCTGAGAAATGCAGTTTTCTCAGTTGCCAATAAACTTAGGTTTGCTTCTTAGAATGAAGAGAATGGAGTGTATGTTCATGTATCATATAAGAGGCATACAGAAGTCATTTTCCCTTGAGGCCTTAGGGAGGGGAGAAAAATCCCCGATGTAGCATTCTGCCCAAATGATAAACCACAACTAAGTGAGTGGAAACATTTACAAAAGTCAAGACAGCCAAAGGAGCCTCAATAGAAAGAAAGAGATGGATAGGATATAACTAAATAATGGTTCGAGTAACACAATGGTTTCAAGTCTCAATTGGTCTCTCTTCTGTTATGTTCATTGGAAGATCAGGGCCAAGTATATCCCCTCCCCCCACAATATAAACATTAGTTTTGTGTGTGGTTCTTTCTGCTTTGTCCTTCATGTGGCCTCCAAGGGTGATAAAGCGAGAGTCATCTGATCCACAATGAAGAGAACTGGGAAATGATTCCTAGCAGACCCAGCTGTTCTGAAAGGCAAAAGCTTAGTATATCAAGAGGTCAAACATACAGTACTGGTTTAATAGCATTAAGCACATACCTACATAATTTGGATTACATATGAAACCAATCTACTCCT